TCTGACCTCTTGAGATAGTCTCAGGCAATCTAACAGATACAAAGTTCACGGACATTGACCTCACTGCTCAACATAGGAGGGGCTCATGTGTTTAAGCAGGGATTCTGTTTCCCTAAGTGAAAATAAATGCTGGTTTATGGACAAGTCCCAACTTGCTAGCTGTAACTGCAGTCTCTTTCTCTTCCAATGAGTCAAGGCTGATGTTGCATGAAAATTGCTGATGTCTAGCCGTGCTATTCAAAGTATCTTTATGGACCAGCAGTTCCAGCATCACCTAGGATCTTCTGGAAAACTGGGAATTTAAGTGCCATCCCACATGGACTGAAGCGGAATCTGCATTTTAACCAGTTCCCTAGGAGATTGTTTGCCTGTTAAATTTGGAAGACACGGGTCTAGAAGCGCATGGTCCTGTACCTTGTGGAATGGAACTTTTGTTCTTGACTCCATCACTGATATTGAAAAAAGTCACTCACTCTTTTTCCAAAGTCTTCACTTTCCCACCCATAAAATCATAGCTTTTATCTTCCTTGACCAAGCACTTGTGAGGGGAGGTGCGATCAAGTGCACTATCTGGCAGTGATAATCAAAGTCCTGCTATTTTATGTGGGGAAATTGAAAGAGGCACTTGAGAGGAAGGATAAATATTGCATGGGAACAAGTCACTGTCAGACAAAATTCATTTATTTTGCTTCAGGAGATAAAGGAGGTGGAAATAATTAACTTGGCTTCCATTTCTAATGGAAGAGTTACGAGTGGTGTTTTCTGCCAATCATTTTTTCTTGCTCTTTGTAAATATGGTACAATAAGAAAAATAAGCTAGTGCTTTCTAGTATGAAATTTAGAAAAATATTTACATAACAATGGAATGGGGATTTGTAACAGATATTATTTTACAGAGAAGACTTTTTGCAGTACAAGAACAGCCAGAGAGGATTAACCAGCCAGCCAGCTCTGGTCTTGGTATGGCAATGGGAAGGACTCTCACCTCTGCTTAAGGTCAATCTCTGTTTTTTTTTTTTTTGGTGCATTTGTACCTTTTGGATCCTTTATTATCTTGAGATTCTATTCCTCAACTTCTTGTATTATTATTATTCATTTCACGGCCCTATGAAGACATTAGCATAAGCCCTGAGCAACAGTCAAAACAAATTTAAGCCTCTGGCTAGCTTGTGAATATGATTGGATCACAGGTGTGTCCTGGGTATTCATGTTTTCCATCTCAAATAATGACAAATGTGCACAAGCACAGACACACATGTACACACACACATACACATACATATGCACACACAAGGGCACACAGAACAACAAAAGTCTCTTTTTGACTCCTAATGTTACCAGTTGTAATGTTAGTTTCCTTATGTCTGTGGGTGAATCTGGAATCAGGTTATTAAAAGTCAAATATATAGTGTTTCTGCCTCAGGTTTCCTTTGAGGAGGAAGAAATCCTGGTAATTTGCCTGTCCTTTTTTCCTCATTTCCCTGACAGGTTTAAGCTTATATGAACATACTTGCTCTTTATTATCTTGTTTCTGGATGAATTAAAATAGACTGTCTTTTCAACATTACATGTAAATTTTGGATGAATTCTGCATTAAATTTAGTAACTTAAGCAGGTTTACTTTATCTTTGAAAATTCAATTCTATCTTGGAGGGTCGAGTTACACACATACACACACACACACACACACACACATTAATATCCTCATGGATAATGACCTAAAGTTTAAGTTGCAGAAAAGAAGAGGAGGGGGAGAAATACAGCTTCTGATATTTTTAACATAAAAATCATATATTTTATTTTACATTTATTAAGTAATATTAAATTGTCCAGTAAAAGAATCCTATTTATTTTTCATTTAGGAAAGAAGCTTAATGCCATGTTATTCCAATATTATTATTTTCATCTTTCTTGATTTAATATCAATTGAGTCAGATATATTATCTTTATATAATAATTCTTACCCTGACATAACTGCAAAGTAAATGATAATTAAAAAGTAGTTTTGTTTTCTAGCACCATCTTTAGGACCAGGGTGGAGCTGCCTGGTGGTCACAGAGAAGGTTCTACGTACATATCTCTAGCCTTATGATGTAGTATTTCATTTGTTTAAATTTTATATACATATATAATCTAATTTAAAGTGCCGTGGTATTGAAAGCTATGCACTTAGGCTTAATTCCAAGTAGTGTCCTACCTGGCTGGCTATATATTTTAAAATAAAGGCCTTGTGAGATTATTGTGTCCTTGTTTGTCTTAAAACTCCAAACCTTCAATCCTAATGTCTCTTCTGTAAATAAGATGTCTTTCCATTTAATTTTCTGAAGACATTTTAATGTCTTCCGTTACCCAGGGACTATTTTATGCTTACAGTTTCTGCTGTGGACATATGATCAGATATCATGACAGCCTCATAAAAGCCTACAGTGTTACAACTGTACAGAGATATGTTTCCCATACCATAAAATGCATGCACAGGTGTACAGTTCAGTGGTTTTAGGTACATTCACAGAGATGGGCAACTGTCACCACAATTTAATTTGAGAACATTTTCAGCATCACCCAAAACACCCTACAATATTAGCTGACCTCCTCACTCTTGCTTGCCTCCTCCCAAACTCCAGGTAGCCACTGTTCTACCTTCTGTCTCTGTGGATTTGCCTGTGCTCAACATTTCATACAAGCGGGATAATACTGGATATGGTCTTTTGTGACTGGCTACTTTTGGCTGTCATAATGATTCCAAGGTTCGTTCATGTTGCAGCATTGTGAGTCTTTAGTATTTCATTTCTTTTAATAACTAAATCATTTTCCCTTAGGCATACACTACATTTTGTGTATCCACTCGCCTGTTGATGAACATTTAGGCTCTTCCCCCTCTTTATCTGTTATGTATAATGCTGCCGTGAGCATCCCTGCACAATTGTGTGAACATGTTTCTCACTGTCTCCACACATCGCCAAGAGTGGAATTGTAGCATCCCATGGTAACTCTGGGTTTAGGATTTTGAGGAATGGTCACTCCTTTTTCCAAAGTGGCAGTTACAGTTTACATCTGTGCTAGTGAGGCAGGAGGATTTCGATTTCTCCACCTCCTTGACTACACTTCATGTTTGTTCTTTTTTATTTTAGCCATCCTTGTGGGTGTGAAGTTGCATCTCATTGTGGTTCTGATTTGCATTTCTCTAATGATCAGTGAGGTGGAGCGTCTTATCATGTTCTTGTAGACAAAGGTCCACTTTTGATGTTTGCCCCTAGCCTGAGCCCAAAAGCCTAATTATCTTCAGCTACAGTTTTAAATGTCTTCTCCCTTACTTTTGTTAGAGAACAAAGAGGTTGTGCGGTTCCGGTAGTTTCAGTCAGTGACAAAGTTAATACATCATCTTTGCTCTCCATTTTACAAGACTGTTGGGAGCCCTCGTGGTAACTTTCTGGGATTGGTGGGAGAAAACTAATTCTTGCTCCAGGATTCCTAACCTTAGTGGAGTGAGCTGTAAAGTGAATGGAGTCTGCTTGATTCCGGGCTCCTAGGGTGCTGTTCTATGCTTCTCTCTTCTCCTTGATGAGCCTATTTTGTTGGGGTTCTCTTGTGTAGGTCTCCCGGGTTTGTTCTCAGGACAGGAGGTAAAGCATTATAAGCACCAAAGAGCACATGGTAGAAAAAAGAAATATTGCTGTGGATCTTTCCCTGAATTATTTTCAGGGAAGGAAAAGAATACATGATTGAAATTCTGTGTGAGAAATTAAGGCAACATCAAGGCATGATTTTCTTTGGGTGACCTGGGCATCATTGGAGGTCTGTACAGTTGTACAGGATTGAAACCCAAACCCAGAGGAGCTTAACCAAGAGATTGGCTCCCACAGGCCGAGAGCGCACCAGTGGTCTCATCAAAAGCCATGTCTCAGAGTGGATTAGCTGGGTTGTTCTTGGGATGCCACCTGAAAACTTCCAGCTCACGTCACCGCAGCATTCTGTGTAAGAGAGATGCTTCTCTGATACCCCTGAAATGAAGTCCTGGAACTGCGTCTTCCTGGCCCCATTGGCTTGACCTGAATCCCTTGCTCATCACTGAGTCATGGACTGTGACCAGCACTGTGGGCTGCATGACTAGTCACTTCATGTGGGCCGGGGAGGGGAAGATGTGGTAGAGAGGGGAGGAGAGTGTGTGCAGAGTGACGAATGGCCATTCTCTGACCACAACCACAGGCCACAGGCTGGCATCGTTCTCAAAGGGCAGTTCTGAGAAGGACACCCAGCGGTCAGCCAAGGCCGTGGTGTTCAAAGTCGGGAGTGTGTGCTCACTTGCAGGGCTTGCCTGTTCCACCTGGTGTTTCAGAAGCAGATGATTGATCTAGTTTCACAGGTCCAAAGCCGGAGAGGTATTCTGTACCAGGATCTCACCCATACCCAACTTCAATGACATTTGGATGAGATTTTGGTGTTAGGTTGATGTTGATAATTGAGGAGATGTTGGACTGGAATGAAGATATTTTTCGTGTGATAAAGAAGTGAATTTGAGGGGGCAGCAGGTAGACTCTTACACTGAATTATGTCCCACCTGAACTCATGTTACAGTCCTCATTGCCTTCCCCCCGTATGTCAGAAGGTGACCTTATTGGAAAATGTTTTTGCAATTCTTTAAAATGAGGGCGTTATTGAACCTTTATTCCACTATGGCTGGTGTCTTTATGCAAAGGGAGGTTTGGACCCCGTGACATGCAGGCAGGGAAGATACCATGTGAACTGGAGTTAAGCTGCCACAAACCAAGGGAGGAACCAACAGAGGCAGGAAGAGGGGCCTTGAACAGTTCCTTCTCCAGGATTTGCAAAGAGAGCACGGCTTAGACAAGAAAACACAAAACAAAACAAAAACATTTTCCTCTAGTTTTGGAGCTCAGTCTGAGATGCAGGTGTCAGCAGGTAGGACCACAGTGTCTAACGTTTTCTTCTTGTTTTAACTGGGTTTTGTTGTTATCTCTTCTTCTTCTTTTTACAAGAAGAAACAAAAGCACCTGAAGATGATGAAATGGAGAAACTTTATAAATCATTAGAGCAAGCGAGTCTGTCTCCTCTTGGGGACCGCCGGCCTTCGACCAAAAAGGAGTTGAGAAAGTCATTTGTGAAACGCTGCAAGAACCCATCCATCAATGAGAAACTTCACAAAATCCGAACCTTGAATAGCACATTGAAGGTGAGACGGTTTCAGACTGTGGATAAATTCTCTGGATGTGAGGCAAAGAAGGATGGGCTCCGCAGAGGTTCGTGATAACAACAGTGTGTTTGTGGGGGTGGAGGCCAGGTCAGTAAGGGTAAGTGGCATCTTTAGAGAGTAAGGTGACCCTGGACATCCTTCAGTGACTAGGACATTTCCACAGTGGCACCCATGGTGATTTTCCACAGTAGGCCTTCCTTTTACTTTCACTCTGCTATGAAATTTCACATGTTAAGCTCCTACATGGCAAGGACCACACACCATTTGTTTTTGTAGCCCTTCTGCCTCACTTTTTGCAGACAAAGACAAACATTCAGTAAAATTACTGTACCTGGCAACCAACCCCCCAGCTTCAACAATAAGCATTTACTATCTCAGACTTTCTGTGGTTTTGGAATTTGGGAATGGCCTGGACAAGCATCTACATCTGTGAATAAACATGACCAGGAGGCTGTGACTAAGGTGTCCCCGAGCACAGTACCTGGCTCAGGAACTGTTGACTACAGATGGAGATCATCAGTGGGTGAGAATCAGCTCTTGGGTTTTCACCTGATTCTTTTGAGGGTGCCATTCTTCTGAGCTATATCTGGGAGAAAGTCCTCATTTTCTGGTACAGCAAAGACTTTCAGCTGTAGGACTTGCAGCCAAGTAACACCGCGAGAGCCTGGCAGTGAGCAGCAGACATCTTGTGGTTACAGAGGAGCAGATGTTTTCACAATGGGAGAGAGGGACCGTGCACAGGATGTACTGAAGCTATTTTCAGGGTCTCCCATAACTAAAATGCTTCTTTATAACAAAAGCATCCTGCTTTCACATTTAGAGTACAACATGAGCAGGAGAAAGCCAGGAGACTTATAGTCCTAAATGAGCAGAACATTTGTAGATTCTGAAAAGCCTTGATAGGTCCTGCAATTTAATTCTGTTTTACTCATGTCCCTTTGCATTAAGAATTTGAGTCCTTTTCCTAAAAAAGAAATGTCGGTAATCAAAAGAACAAAGCTACAAAGACATGGCTGAAGGGCTCTTGTTAGTCAGAATTCCAGTAAGTCAACAGCAAGTCAATAGCACTAAAGGCTGAAAAGATGAAGTTGTAAAAAAAAAAAAAAGTGTATTTTTAATTATATAAAGAAACTCCAAGTGCAGAGAAATTCCCTAATATTAAATGATGGAAATATATTACTAGCATTTATTCCACAGTGTGTACAGAATTGATTAATGTGGTGAGTCACTCAGTGTAATATGCCATAGTATGTAGGAATTTTACTATTTGTCTTTGTCTGCAAAAAACGGAGATGAGTAAATAACTTTTCATCAAGCAGCATTTCCTGAATCATACTGTGTACCAGGCACTAGTCTAGGTCACGGTGACCATGGAGTGAAAAACCCTGGGCAAATGGAAACAGAGAGAAGAACACACAGCTAGAATGCAGTGTGGTGTGAATGCAGTGGAGATGATCTTGGGGGTTTGGTTGCCCAGAGAAGGGAAGTGACTTACCGTCAGGTCAGTGAATGACAACTGGTCAGTAAGAGAGAGATGAAGAGTATCGGGAAGGAAAGGGAAGGGCCTTCCAGGAAGTGCAGTGTCTATCAGTAGAAGATACGTTACTCCCCATGTTGGGAGAAATAGGAGGAGGAGGCTAAGGAGACCAGGAGCCACGTGGACCATTTGCAGGAGAGAGACCGTGGCCCCTGAGTCTCCATAGAGCAATGGACTAAAGATGTCAGACCTTCACAGAGGCATGCACCAACCAAAGAAGTCCACAGGGCCCTCTGTGACAGTTGGGTTTTTTTTGTGCAGTTTGGCCACGTCATCAATGAACTCAGCAACTTTTCCTTTTCTCCCAGTATATTACTGGGTAATCTGTTGCTAGGTAGCAAATTACCCCCAAACTTAGCAACTTCAACAATAAGCATTTACTATTTCAGACTTTCTGTGGTTTTTGGAATTTGGGGATGGCTTGGACAAGCTTCTGCATCTGTGAATAAACACGGCCATGAGGCTGTGACGAAGGTGTCCCTCAGGGCGGTGTTCATTTCTCCCCTGGGAAGGATCTGCTTCTGAGTTCTCTTTGGGTTGTTGGCAGGTCTCTGTTCTTTGCAGGTCGTTGGACTGAGGGTCTCTGTTGCTCTCTGGCTGTTGGTTGGAGGCCACCCTCAGTTCCCTGCCATATGGACGCCTTCATAGGAAGCTCGCAGCCTAGAGGCTGGCTTCTCTCAGAGTGAGCAAGAGAGCGAGATTGAACAAGCAGCATGAGTTAGAAGTCAACATCACCTTATTTCTAGAGTGTTCTATTTAGTAGAAAAGCATGTCATTAGGGAGGTCCATACTCAGGGAAGGGATTGTACAAGGAGATGAATCTCAGGACATATGGACATTAGGCTCCATGATAGGGTTGCCTCCAATGGCCCGCTGGACTGCCCTCTATTCACTTGAGGAGAACAGCCCTTTCCATAGATCCTTTAGGTCTTGTTCTAGGGCTGATGAAAGTAGTCCATGTCATGTGGACCTGTCAAGGTCAGGAGGTTGAGGAGAGGATGATGTGGAAATTGGCCTTGGTGAAAAACAAATAGCAAACAAAAATGAAGCATATCAGCTTATCCAATGGGGAAAGAGAAATTAGCATATGTGATTATTCATGTTGAAAAGCTATAATAGTAATTACTGTTTATCTCTTTTTAAGATTCAAAGCAGTTAGGCTGGGGACATAGCTCAGTTGGTATTGTGCTTGCTTTGTATGCACAAGGCCCTGGGTTCAATCCCCAGTACCAAAAAAAAAAAAAAAAAAAAGGCAGGGTATCAGTTGTCCTTGAGGGAGAAGAGGATTTGGCTGGGAGGGGCAAGAAGGGGAGCTTCAGATGTGCTGGGTAAGGGTCGTTTTTTGACCCTTGTTAGGGTTACATGGATATGGTTATATGGTGATAGTTCATCAAGCACAAATTTTTCTGTCTGGGCACTTTTCTCTGTGTAATAAAAAGTTGCATTGTAATAAAAGGTTGGTTTAAAAAATGCTTCAAGCTGGGCACGGTGATGCATGCCTATAATCCCCATGGCTTGAGAGGCTGAGACAGAAGGATTGCGAGTTCAAAGCCAGCCTCAGCAATGGCGAGGCACTAAGCAACCCAGTGAGACCCAAAAGCTGGGGATGTGCCCCGCCCCTGTGGTTGAGTGCCCCTGAGTTTAGTCCCTAGTACCAAGGAAAAAAAAAATACTTCAAAGGTGGAATGGGGTGAAGCAAGAGTAGCAGTTTCATGCAGAAACAAAGAAAATGTTGTAGTAATAATGTTTATGTTAGTAATAGGTGCATTCCATAAAGAAAAATCCCTCCTTTGGGATGTTATTGGAATGCATGCTCTTGGGGAAATTCTTGGAAGTTGAGCAAACTGTTATGTCATACACTATAAATGGAAATCTTTTGGAATTTCTGCTAGCTCAACATTCATGGACTTTTGAGTAAGCCTGTCTTTATTTTAAAATGAATGATTAATAGAATGGTTAGTGGGGCAGAAGGAAACTCCTTCAGTCACTCTGGCCTATTTCACCAGGCATGAACTCTGTCTTCCCTGAAGCTGCACTGATGGGCACTGTGCCAACATGCTTAGGTCTTGAGTCAGACCATGAACTGAATATTTGGAGGATAAATGGAAAAATCCACATTCTCTGGCATTATGGCGACCCTGAAACCTTGCTTGCCTGACATAAAGAAAGGTGGACCTTGGCAAAGTAGCCTTTGATAGCTACTTCGATAGCCTTGTGCGACAGCCAGGAGGAACAGGGCCACTGTGTGAGGCTCTGGCCCTCAGGGCACTTTGTCTGGGAAGGAGCTCAGAAGGTTTTGCCGTTTCATTAATGCTCAGAAGGTTTTGCCGTTTCATTAATGCTCAGAAGGTTTTGCCGTTTCATTAATGCCCTGTTTCCATATTTAAAAAAAATTTTTTTTTTTTTTTTGTACTAAGCGTTGAACTCAGGGGCACTCGACCACTGAAGCACATCCCAGCCCTATTTTGTATTTTATTTAGAGACAGGGTCTCACTGAGTTTCTTAGTGCCTCGCCATTGCTGAGTCTGGCTTTGAACTCTTGATCCTTCTGTCTCAGCCTCCTGAGGGGCTGGGTTGCAGGCATGCACCACCGTGCCCAGCTTACTTCTGTATTCTTGTTCATAGTTTTTTCTTTTATCTATACAAGATCTAACACAGATTTCACCCAAATAGCAAGAAATTTGGATTGTTTAGAGCAGGAAACCAAGTGAGAAGTGTTAACCTCATTCCCAAAGACCTTTAATTTTTCCCCCCAATTTTTTTATCAGTTTTAAAGTGGCAGTTAATTCATTCTTGCCTTTTAAAAATCAATTTCCCAAATTTTCATTAATCTTCAAAGATTCTATTTAGTTTTCTCAATAAAATATTAAGATCTCCCTCTGAAGCAGATGTCTAAGTTTCTTTAGAAAACATAAAACTCCCTGAATCACTTCATATTAATAGCACTGGGGGGCTGTCAGAAGATGAAAGCTTATTATTTATTCATATTTTATTTGAAAAAGAATTTTTTGAAGCATAAATATTGGGAACTGAGAAGAAAAGAAATAAAACTCTCTGGGCCTTGCCTGACTTCCACAAACAACCCTCTGCTTATCTACTCACCCTTTCTTTCTCCTGCTTCTGGGTCCTGGACCACGGCTGGATGTCCCTCTTTGGTTTCTTCCTGCTCCACTGTGTTTGACGTCAGCAATGTGGGGGTTACTCTTGACCTTCACAGGAGCAGTTTTGGTGGGATGATAGGGGCAGAGACCTGGCAGGAGTGTCTGTGACAGATGGGCACAGGGACACGGGGGATAAGGAGAAAAATGGAGGGTGATTGGATAGGGGTTGGGTCAGAGGGGACTTTTAAAGTGGGAGAAGCAGCCATGTGCAGGTAGCCTGGGAGAATGACCCAGCCGAGGTGGGAAGTTGGCGAGTCACAGGAGAGCAGGGGCAGTGGTGTCCACGTGGAGGGACTGGCTTTGCGAGGAGCACAGACATTTTATCTGTATGAACCGGAGGGAAGGCGCCTACGTCTCTGCTGATGTAGGTAGTGAGTGATAGGAACTTGGGAGTACTTTTCTGATTATTTTCATTTCCTCAAAAAATACAGAGCAAGCTGTGCGTGAGGTGGAGGGGCTGCTGCAAGATGAGATCACAGTGGTTTTTTAATTTTTTAATTTTTTTTATTGGTACCAGTGATAGAACGCAGGAGCTGCATCCCAAGCGCTTTTTAAATTTTTTTTTTTTTTAAATTTTGAGGCAAGATATCACATTGCTTAGGGCCTTGCTGAGTTGCTGAGGCTCGCTTTGAACTTGTGATCCTCCCGCCTCAGCCTCCCGAGCTGCCGGGATCACAGGTGTGCACCGCCGTGCCCAGTAAGGTGACAAGTTTGAAACAGTTACTTTGGAGATGGGGAGAGGAAAGATAAGTGAGAGTGTGATTACTGGATAGCAGGGAAAGTCCTCTTACTAGCAGTCGCCCTGAATTGGGAGGGAGACCAGCAAGCATGGTTGGGAAGTTCTAGCTACACATGCTGCCCTGGGGTGGGCAGAGGGAGTGGTTCCCTCGTGGGAAGGTGCTGAGTGTGTACATGGCACATGGCACATGGCATTGCGCTGGGTGCTGAGTGTACAGCAATGAGGAACACATGTCCCCTGTGTGGCAGATCCAAGAGCATCTATATACACCACGGTAGGTTCAGAGCATCTGATGGCAGGAGAGTATAAAAATGAAGAAGCTCCATAATCCAATTTGGGGAGTCTAGGGATGGTTTTCTGGGGAACATGCTGCTTGAAGCGAGTGTAGATGTTTGAGTTAAGTGGAGAAATTGGGTAAAGGAAGATTAGAAGGCATTCCATGTGAAAGCAGCTCTGGAAATTAAAGTCCGCTGGATGCCACTTGGCTTCATGGAGGCATGAACCAGCCTTTGCAGGTCAATACTGTCAGCGTAGAAAGGCAGAGGGAGGGGAATATCAACAAATGCAGCCGAGGTTGGTGAGGGGCCTGGGACACAGGGAAATCATCAAGAGGACTCGGCAGGTGGACGCATCCCTGCTCTACTCTGCCATGCAGAATGTGGCTGTAAAGTGGGGGCTGGGGCGGGGCCCTCACTTAGGAGGTCACAGTGGCAGAGCAAGTGTGATGTACTGGACTGTGCCTCCAAAATAAGGACTCGGGTCCTAGGGACCAAGAAAACCACTTGAGATAAAATTGTCAAGAGCTGAGTGATCTACTTATTTTAGTGTGGAAAATGGTGTATATTATTTTTTTACTCCATTCCTTGACTCAAGAAAACTGTAACCCAAGGCAGACAATTAAAAAAAAAAATGTGAGTCACTGCTTTCTGAGGAGGCAGATAAAATAGCACTAATGGAATTTTTACTCTATCAGCATTTTTGGAATACATATCATTTTGATATGATAACCCGCCTGTTTATTCTATATATGCTGATTAAATACAATTTATCAAAAATCCATTAAGAATTTAATAACTAAAAAATTTAAAAAGTGCTCCTTTATGCGTTAAAGTGTTTGTCCTAGTTTTACTTAGTGAAGTTTGGGGGGGGGGTCAATGAAATGCTTTTGCATATAATTCTCAGCTCCTGGAGGTGTACAGTTATGCTAACACCAAGACAGGGTCATTTCTGGGGTGTAAGTCATGGACAGATCAGGTAAGAGCAGTATAGAGAACCTGGGCTCCTGTCTAATTCTCCCCCTAACTCCTGGGAAGATACTTAATTTCCTTATGGCCATCATATATAAACAGAGGTGGTGTCGGATTGCTTAGGCCTGGTGCAAGGATTCAAATATCGATGTGTAAAATCACTTTGATAATTTTATGAATGTGCCCATGTCTTTGCAGAGGGTGGGTGAAGACAATTTATTGAAATTCAGATGCTCATGACATCCCCCTGTGCTCCCCCTTTTCTTCCTGGGCAGTGTAAAGAACATGATCTGGCCATGATCAACCAGCTGCTGGATGATCCGAAACTAACAGCCAGGAAGTACAGAGAGTGGAAGGTCATGAACACCCTCCTGATCCAGGACATCTATCAGCAGCATCAGGCCCCGAGTGAACCTGAAGGCGCATCACAGGAACTCACGGAGCCCCCTTCGCCGGCCTGTCTGGAAAATTCTATCTGAGGAAAAAAGCCAGAATTCTCTCTTCTTGTATTTTATTGAAAGCAACTTTACAAGATGTTGCAGGAGCTTCTGTTTCTCCTTGATGGGAAAACTGAAGTTCCCCTCTGCAGCTTAGCTGAAGACAGTTACCAGATGCAGCAGGACTCCTGGTTCCCCATCGAGTTTCACCGTCATCGAGCCTGGAGTGATGGGGTTCAGCTGAGCAGACGTGATTTTGTGTTCTTACTGGGAGCTTGTGGAGATGGTAGGCTCTAGGTGGGATGTGAGAAACCTATCTTCTATCCCCTGCTTTCAAGAGAATCTCAATGTACCGTGCACAAAAGATCCAATTTTACTAGGGATAATGAGTCATAGAAGTATCATTTCTTCCCCCAAGAAGCATGAACGTTCTCTACTGACGGGCCACAGAGTACTCCAAAGCATTCTTTGAATGGAGGTGTGCTTTGTATAGCAACAGCTGGAACAGGTCACAGTGGGATGGTGGAACAAAAATCCTTTGCCATTGCTATAGAAGGGTGGTCCTTTTTCCACTTGTTGAGAAATATTTTCCAGAGTGGCGTGTAGGAGGGCCCGAGGAGGGGATATGTGCTGTGTTACACTCACTCAGGACTGGGTGGTATTTTCACATTTACCTGGATTGGGGGATATGGTTAATGTATCTTTTGTCACAGCAGTTAGAAAAAAACTACTCCTCACAGTTGGAGACCACTGCTCCTCCTTGGCCTCCCTGCAGGATTGATTGTAGAGGGTCTTAACAGGCCCAACAAGGAACATTCTGCTGCTTTTGTCTTTGGCTTGGTCCCCATAAACAGTATGGATTTATATCCAGTTTTCCTGGGATCAATATTGGAAAGAGGATTCTGGCATCGGAATTGTTTTAGTATCTGTACGGGAAGTGGGGGACTCAAAAACTAAAGGTTTTAACATGATTGTTTTATTTTTGTAAGCTCATGTGTCACGGTGTGCTTTGTGAATAGCCATCTATGTTTTTTATTTAAATATATTTATAGAAGTTCAAATTAGTAGTGTTTTAAAAGATCATATACTATTCTATGTTTTGTTCAGCCTATATATTCTGGAAGTATACATACTTTTGCTTGAGAAAACTAAGGATACTATTGATTTATCAGAGTTAGATTGCACTATAATGTACCAGGAATGCTCAGGAAATCTTGTGAGAAAACTATGGGGGCATGTATTAATAATTTTTCATTTGCTGAGATCTTTCTTTCTGTCTCTAATTCTCTTCATAGCTCTTAAATTGTTGTATTCATTGTAAGTCTTTCCCCTAACGTTCATCTTAAGCGATCCCTTCTCTTAAATAAACTTTTAAGTTTATGTCCATAAACCCTAGGCCAAATGAAACACAACTAATGTATTATTTTGACTAAATATCAATAGAAATGTCGGGTTTATTAAAGAGCTCAACAGAGAAGCAATATGATATTGTTCACTAATCACAATGAAGATTTCTCACCTTAATAATAACCACAACCCGCTGAGAACCAATTTGGACCCTACCTGCTGCTAGAAAATTGTTAGCGTAACACATTTCATTTTATTGCATTGAAGTGTGGCTTGACATTTAAATGCAGATAACCACCTGAATTGTGTCTGCAACCCTAAATGGAAATAGTTGTTGAGTATCTCCCCAAACTTTCCTAAGAAGTCTTCATACTCTAAAACAACAGAAAAACAACCTTAACATTAAGAAACAAAACACAAAACAGGAAGCAAGTTGAAGTACTGGAAACTTCTCTGAGATGAGGGACCCTATCAGTTGGTTTGGCTCAGCAAAGGTTCTCCTGCACCCAATGCAGCAGAGTGCGTAGAGATGTGCCTAATGAGGGGTCATCTGGTCCCGGAATGGGGTGGTGTCTGGTTTGAGAGTCTGGTGCTTTAACCTCTTTATTCTGGCAATGGCTCTTTCTGTGAATAGCAGGTTTTATAAGGTAGCAGTTTTTAGAAGCTTGGTGGTTTGGGATTCAGAATGTAAACCAAGTGTGAAGGGAAAGCAGAAATAATGTAATGGAGGAAATCATAGAATGACACCAAGTGTTTTTCCACCTCTTTTTTGGTTTTGTTTTTCACAGTTCTTTTTCTTTCTATTTTTTTTTATTGGTTCATTATAGTTATACATAAAAGTGGGATTCGTTGTTACATACTGGTACATGCACACAATAAAACAATATAATTTGGTCAATTTTGTTCCCTAGAACCTTTTCACTATCTGTCCCTTTCTTCTTCTACTGTACTGATTTTCCACATTTTTCTTCTTGTGATTCATAAATATATATATATATATATGTATATATATATATATTTTTTTTGGTACTGGGGATTGAACCGAGGGGCACCTAACCGCTGAGCTACCTCCCCAGCCTGTTTTTGTATTTTATTTAGACACAAGGTCTCACTGAGTTGCTTAGGGCCTCATTAAGTTGCTGAGGCTGGCTTTGAACCTATAATCTTCCTGCCTCAGCCTCCCAAGCTGATGGAATTATAGGTATGTGCCACCATGCCCAGCTACATATTTAAAATTTTTAGTGCTTTGTAGTTATACATAATAGTGGGATTAATTTTGACATATTCATAAATGAATACAGCATAGAAATACTGACACATGCATACCATTGTTCTTTGTGACTGACTAGAATTCCATTGTGTGTATATACCACATTTTCTCCATTTCAATCCCCAGTATTATCCCCTTCCCACTCCCTGATCCCCTTCCTCTATAGGCTTTCCTCTTATTTATTTATTTATTTTTAAATTGGTGCATATGTGTGTATGTATGTGTGTATATGTGTGTATGTATATATACACACACATATGTGTACATATATATGGGAATGTGATATGTTCATACATACATGTACATATTTGTTCCCCAGTTCTTACCCCTTCCTGCCCCTTCTCCCTCCCCTTTGGTCCCCCACCTTTACTTTCCTGATGTCCTTTCTATTTTCATGAGATCCCCTTTCGTTATTTCTTCATTCTCTCTAGCTTCCACATATTAGAGAAAACATTCCATCCAACTTTCTGAGTCTGGCTTATCTCATTTAGCACGATGTTCTCCTGTTCCATCCATTTTCCAGTAAATAACATAATTTCATTGTTCTTTGTGACTGACTAGAATTCCATTGTGTGTATATACCACATTTTCTTTATCCTAAAAGAATTAATTTCGGATTTATACCACATTTTTTTTTATCCATGAGTCTATTGACAGTCATGTGGGCTGGTTCTACAACTTGGCTATTGTGAATTGCACTGCTATAATCATGGTATGCATGTGTCAGTATACTACGATGATTTTAGTTCTTTTGGATAAATGCTAAGCAGTGGGATAGCTGGTTATATGGTGGTCTATTCTTAGCATTCTGAGGAATCTCCATACTGCTTTCCAGAGTAGTTGTACTTTTTATTTGGTTTACAACATTAACTTATAAACTTCTGAGCAGTTTTTTTTTCCTAAATTGTAGATCCTTAAACACTTTTGACCAGAACTTGTGGATACATTTACATGTTTTACTTTGATTTTTCATCAGTACCTCTTTGACTGAGTTTTTAATGTGAACTCCTTTAGTACATTCAAACTTAAAAGCTCAATCAGCCCATAAGATGGCTTGACTGAGGCTTAAAGTTTCTGCTCAAGTCATTTAAGAAAGTTGGCCTAGCAGTTTTTGCTTGGTATTTAAAATGTACTTTGTAGAACATTCCCAAATGAAAGTCATATTGCATTGCATGATTTCCACCCTATCTTTTTAGACCCAGATCCCCTGATCATTAGTCATTTTTACTTTGTAAAGAAATGCTTTTGCTCCATACTGGGCTGAGTTAGGAAGCAGGAGACTGCTTCTTTGAGTTTCCAGCCTCAGCTACAGTCACTAAGAGGAGGATGGAGATAGAGCAGAGTGGGAAGAAGAGTGGGTGATACTTTTCATGACACTCAGTATAAAAGGAACCTGGTAAGTTATGCCTTGACTTCAAGTCACTTTTCCTGTCCAAAAGATATTGAGAAAACTGGACTACTTCCAGTTTCTTGCTGGGGAGTAATTATGTCTCAAATTGTTTTTGGGTAGGGGAGACTCCTGCACCCACTCTTCTAGCCACAGTCTGTGGCTGTGAAATTACTCAGAACCATATATGGCTGCTTGGAGAGGAAGTTAGTCCAAATCTGTGGCTCTTGTAAGGTCTAGGATCTGGAAGCTCTCTGCTTAGGGATTATGATGACTTCTAACCTCTGTTTTTGGCCTGTAGACCCAGACTAGAGCCTCATAGGGACTCTTACCGTTGGGTACCTTGCAAATACACACCCGAATCACACATCCATCTTGCATATGAAGAGTCTATGTTGTTTTAAGAATTCTCAGTTTTGCTACTGTAGTTTAATTTAGGATGCATTCCACATTCGACAAAGAATCCTAAAGCATAAAATTGCTAAGACTCCAGGAAGCTTGTGAATCAGATTTCAGTGTGAATCCAGGCCTTTATTTACTCAGAACGTTTTAGTTTGCAAATCAGTGTGCTACAAGCCCTCCATCTGCACTCCCTACCGCCCCCCCCCACTTCCTGTTACCCAGTAGTCTAAGTGGGATGAATGTGGATTTTTGATACAATGAAGTGCCTGGCCCCAAATCCCAATTGGTGGGGCCAGAATTTAAGTTTGAGCATCAGGACTCTGAGTCCCTCCCTATATGCCTATTCTCTTGCAAAACTTCTGCTGGAGCAGACCTATTAGGAAGCAGTCTCATGTGGGTCATCCACCCTAATGGTGCTGGGCTCCACACGGACCAGGCCGGTCAGGGTAGCTTTATGTGGGTCCATCTACCTGAAGCCTGAGGGACTCCAGACCCTGAGCACCATCTCTTTCTAATGTCCTGCCTTCCCCTGCCGTGGGTGCTCTGTGAACTGGGGCTTGACCTTATCACTCTGTGCTTATTAATTTGCTTCTGAAAAATTTCACTATTTTACCCAGTTTAGTGCTGTGAGACCTTAGATGAAAGAAGCGTGTTTAAAGAAATAGAGTGTATTTTGTTTTTCTTTTCAGGTGTGTCTATCAGATGTCAGAGACCCAACTCAGTGAGTAGGGGTTAGTCCTCTGACTTTTCTCTCTCAAATTCTTCTGTCATTGTGATAATTTCCTCAGGGAGACTTCAAATCACAAACAAGGTCACAGCCATGAAACAGATTAAAATGAAAAAGTCATTTTGAGTGTTTTGAGGGGAGGTGCTATAGAAATTCAACCCTTAATTCATGGATATATACCTCTTTGCAAGAAAGAAGGACAACTTTTTGATGTAGCCACATAGATGATTTGGTGAGTAATTTTAGGTACAAACACTGAAGATCCAAATGTCACTTTATGTGAAAAAATACTGTGTCCAACTGAAGTATTAGGATGTATCTCTTCTTCAGTCTAATAGAACACGGCAGGTGATACAGGTATTCAAATGTATTTACTCTCCTACCCTCCTCTCACAAGAGAAATTGCATAAAATAAAGCTTGATCACAAGCAATTAAAAAAGTAAAATGTTCTTCACTAGATTTTTGCAACACATGAAATTGGTGGTGTTGGGGGAGGGGCATAATTCCAACGCCCAGAAAGCCACATCCCAGGGAATGGGAACTGAGCAGACTTGCAAAAACCTATTGTTTGTGAGACAGGAAGAAATCTCCTTGCCTCTTCTTTATTCTTTCCCACACAATCACAGCACCACATAAAAAACCATTACAAACGGATTTAACATTGAAAAAGTGGTTTTGCATTTCTCTTACTGTGAGGAAGCGGAATTGCTCTGTATTGATAATCTCTACCATTAGTTCAAAGGGAAGCATGCCCCACGGAGAGACTCGATAATAAAAACCAGGATTTAAAATCATCACATATTTTCATGTCTTTGCATGATGGGGATGTAACTTTTAACACTGCATGGTGTTTGCAGCAAGATGCTCATGTGGAAATGTATTTGAAATTTCATTTGTGCTTTTATTCTTTGTCATCTACCCCTTTCCACTCAACTGGAAAAAGAGGCATGGCTCATTTCCTCTGCTGTTTTTAAGGTTGACTTGTAAGATGCAAATAAAAACAAAACAAAAGAAAATATATCTAGTAAAATCACATGGAAAAAAAAATATACTACTGGTGTTTATTTTCTGCCTTGCTCTGTTGCTTCCTCAGATTGGGAGGAGGAACTGGGAAGTGCCTAATGGCTCTGCTGTGATGTTCCACAAAGGCTAGAGTGCCCTCTGGTGGCAGTCACCAACATAATAGAGTCCAGGAAACTTTTTCTTTAAAAGATCTATTATATTGCTGTTGGTCCACACAATTTGACTTGCATATTATAGTACCTTTTATCACTACTG